TGTAATCAGAATGCTAACTTAGGCATCGGAGAGTCCCCGCCGGGAAAATACCCCCGGGTCCTCTAATTCAGTTCTCGCAGGTCCCTCAGCTCCCGCCGCCTACAAAGGAGAGGAAATCACCTCATGCGGAGAGTAGTCGGGTTGCGCTGCACCAGGGAGCTCCACCATCCTCTAAGTTGCAGGCCGCCTAGGAGCAAGTCAAGTGATGAGTCCATCAGGCAGTTCGCCTCCAGGGAGTTTGCCACCAAGCAGTTCACCACCAGGTAGTTCGCCACCAGGCAGTTCACCACCAGGCAGTTCGCCACCAGGCAGCTCGCCACCAGGCAGTTCGCCATCAGATAGTTTGCCACCAGGCAGTTCGTCACCAAGTAGCTCTCCACTAGGGAGCTCGCCACCGGGCAATTCGCCACCAAATAGCTCATCACCAAGGCACGTCACCACCAGGTCAAACAACAAGGTACTTAGCCAAAAAATTTATACATCATAAAAAATGGTACGTGACCAGAAACGGTTACATCAATTTCCAAGAGAGGGGATGAAATGGCCATTCCACCAATAATATGAATAGAATTTCAATTCTACCCAACCAAACAGATGAAATTACAACGGCCCATTCTGATTCCAGGTTCGAGAACAGAAATACGGATACACACGATGCAAAATTTGGAATTTCTGCCCCCTCTCGTGAATTTGACATCAATTCACGGTCAAGATGCATTCCCCTGTACTTTGGGATTATGATATGGGCTGATTGATCATTCTCCCTAAAAAAAATGGTCCTTCCATGAAATGTCATATCATTTGTCTTTTTGCCAACTGCCACGTCCTTTTAACCTACCCTACACGCCAGCCTTGCTTGCATATGTCTCACAATCACTACTCAATTTCTCACTTTGCATTTATGGCTATAGCAGGCGTGTGGCATTTTTCATTATTAGTCTTTAAGTAAAACAATTCTCTCCCTCTTTTAACACTGTACTAGCGTGAGATGCACGGGAAAATATAAAAGATTTAATAGCTTTATTTACTATTAATTAATATTAAGTTAATAATAAAAAAACATTAATAAATAATTAAAAGTATTAAAAATTAATGTTAATATTTAAAATTTTAATAATTGTATTTTTCATTTAATGTTGATTTATTGTTAATTTAATATGAACAAATATTTTTTAATACATTTAGTTTTATTAATAATTTGTAGTAATTTTAATAATTGTTATTATTTTTATTATTTTAAATGAAATTTTGATTAACTTTAAATAAATAAAAACAATTGTAAAAGTAAACATTTTTATTAATTTCATTAATAATTAACAATTATATATGAATGACAATGGGGTGGATTCAGTGTGGGGCACCCCATTCCTGTTCCTTCCTCGTATTCAAGACACTCTACCCCATTCCCGTCCTGTCCTCAGTGTCAGGCAAGTTCAGGACAAGGCAACCACTCCTTAATGTCGGGCGAGTTTAGGGGCAAGGCACCCCAATTCCTTATCAAGGATGGGAATCCTCAAAATTCCTTGCGCCATCTCCAGTATTGGGCGGGTTCAAGTAGAAGTGTAAATCGGGTCACGCTAGGGTGGCACGACACAACTCACATGTGGCCCGCATAAAGTGTGAGTTGTGTCATACTGGCCCACGGGTCGTGCCTCCCTCCCCTGGGATAATTTGGGGGGTTACACGGCCCATGACCTGAGCCCGCACGGGTCCGTACCATGCCATGGGCCAAGCCTTGGGCCAGGTCATGCTGTGGACCGGGCCAAGCTATGAAAGGTCCATTTTTAAAAAATGAAAAAACTGTTTAAATTTTTATTTCATATGATTTTTTATTTATACAATTGTTTATATATACAATTAGACCTATTCATGGGTCAAGTAGCCCAACGACCCAGCTCGGCTAGACCCGTTATTTTTTAGGCTTGGACAAAATTTCAGACCTGTGGCCTTGAGCTTGGGCTTTCTTTAATAAGCCCAGCCCGGGCCCGAGTCTAGCCCAATTACATATATAAAAATGTATTTATGTTATATATAATAAATATAATATATATATATGCTTCTTAAATTATTAATAAATATCAATTTACTATTAGGAAATATAAATTATTTTATTAATTTATTGAATTATTACTAAATTAATATAATATTAGTTTATAAAAGTATATTGAAAATAGGACATTTTGTGAACAAATCGGGCTTCGGGCTTTATATAAGGGCTGGGCTCGGGCTCAAGATCTTCGCTTGGTGGTCAAGCTGGGCTCGGGGTTGGGCTTGCACATTTTCTATTGATAAAGAGGCTCATTTAATTATAAAACTATGGTTTTTTATGAAGTAAAATTTTTATTTAGTTCTAGTCTAGTATAAAAAATATATAACTCTTCTATATATATATATATATTAATATAAAATTTGTTATTCAAATATTATATAATAATATTTACCACATATGCATAGAAATTCCAAGTTGAGCTTATTAGGAGTTGTTTAGGTTGGGTTCTATTCGCTAAAGCCATCATTGGACTCCAAAAATTTGATACCCAATTAGACTTCAAATCTGATTATCCTTGATAATGTGTGGGCGTGGTGCATATCTCAGCTATCCATAACTCAAAAGAAAATAGTTGCTTGAGCCTTGAAATTTATAGATCTAATCAAATAAGGTTAAGTCATAAATGATTTGTTACTTTTTATTATTAATTATTAAAATATTACTAGCTATTAAAATATTGTATTTATTCAAAATACAATAATTTCTGGAAACTATCATATTTTCAAAAATATTGCTAATTTCTTGGCTATAACAAATTAAGTGTAATTTTCTAGCAATTAAAAACATCTTTTTGGTAATTAAATGTAATTTTCTACTATTTATAGCTTAAATTATAATTATTGTTAATTATAGGTTAAAAATAATTATTGTCAATAATATTACTATTACTAATTAAAATACATTGTTTTTAATTATTATTTAGTACTTTTGAAATAAAATACAATTAAATTAATTTTTTAATTATTTTTAGTATTTTAATTAAGCTTTAGGTTTTTCAAAATTTTTGGATTTTAATTAGTTTTTTGTATTTTTTAATTATTATTCAGTAATTTTTGCATATGAGTATTTTTCAATAATTTCAGCATTTATTTTTGCATATTAGTCACTACAAAATTAATTTGAATTTGCTTTCAGTAAAAATAAATTAAATAACTAAATAAATACGAAAGTTAATAAAAAAATACAGCTAATTCTCAATATTTTTCTAGCTTGGGTATTTTTGTTTAATAATTTTTGGTATTTTTTAATATAAAACACTACTAATTTTACTTTTAATTATTTTTAGTAAATACCCTTATTAATATAAAATATTGTTAATTTTCAATATTTTATAATTTTAGTATTTTAATTATGTTTAGGTTTTTGAGAATTTTTTGGATTTTTAATTTTTTGTTGGTATTTTTTTCATTATTATACAGTAATTTTTGCAATAAAATACTATTAATAAAACATGTTATGCATTTTAAATTTTCATTAAATGTTATAT